AAAAAAAAAATCATTCTCCTTTAGTTTACCAACTATAATCTCTATATCAAATATTTCATTCCAAATATTTCCAGATTTTGGTTATTATTATTATTATTTTTTTTTGGGGTTAAAATTTTCGAAATTCACAACTCACAAGCAAGCTCGACCAGAGATGTTGATGCATATATGACAGATAGAGTCAAAGCGTGCATGCCCTGCTCTGGTAGTAGCACGTGGGGATTAATAGTTTCGCTTTCTTCAGATCCATCATCTTCCTCCCGGCTGCCACCGCCACAACTACCCTTTGACTCCATGACACGCAATCACTCAAGCTTTATCTAAAATTTCCATTTTCATTTTCCCCAATTACAATCCTCTAAAAATGACTATGTCGGCGATCATCCACTTTCAATCACACAACACCGTCGTTCCTACCCCTCTCCCTTTCCAAATGGCATCGCCAGCATCCGCCGCCGTCCGCCGCGTCTGCTTTCAACTTCCCTTCCGCCGTTTTCCTCCTTTGCCATCCCTTCGGCTGACACCTTTTTTTAGAGTTAGGGCTTTCTCTTCTGATGAGACGGAGTCCGAGATCTCAATCAGTGGCGAGAAGGTTTCTAATAAGCCTTCTATTTGTCTGCTGACGAGCTACACTATGTTTCTGTCAATAATTCCGACTGGAGACTTGCTTTATGGAGATACCATCCTTCTCCGCAGGTAAATTGTTAATGGAGACGAATCTTAGTTACATATGACTTCTGATTTCGTATTTTGCTTGTTCATTAACTGCAATGTCTGTATAACTTCGATTTACATATGTTATTACAGGCTAAATCGAGAAAACATCCACTATTGTTGTTATCAGGGGTGGGAACAAATGCGATCGGGTACGATCTCTCACCTGAGGTGAGTTCGATTGTCTCTCCTTCTTTCTCTTATTTACGATCATATTCTGTATTTCTTTGATTTTATATCTGTCAAGGGTAAAAAACATGAGCATAGATGAGTGATGCAAACATTAATAAGTTGTCTGCTAGTTTTTAGTGAGTAGTGAGGACTGATAATAAATATATTCTAGGAAATTGGATAATAAAAGAAGGGGAAAATGGAATCTACAAGTGAAGAAAAGGGACATAGTATAGTAAACGATCAACTTCTAGTGAAAGATGAGATTATAAGGAGGAAATGTGGTAGTTACTTTCATTCTTTGTGTAATGAGGATAGATTCTAGGAGATTGAGAAATTACATTGTTTGGTTGCAGTCTTCATTTGCTAGATACATGTGTGAACAAGGATTCGACACCTGGATTCTTGAGGTCCGAGGAGCTGGCTTAAGCATGCACGGGTCCCACCCCAAAGACATCGAACAGTCAGCACACGCAATATCCAACCAGATGGAAGCCGTTGCTGTTTCCGGAGCAGAAACCGTTCTATCCGCATCACAGTCTTCATCTACCAATACAACGGAATCACCGATTCCACTGGAATCAGAGATTCCAGTGGAATTACCAACCGTATGGGAGGAATCAATACTTGTCACCAAGTTAACCGAAACATTCATTACCCTATCAGATAGAGTATCCGGCTTCCTAAGTGAAGGTCAATCAAGACTAATCTCTGCTAAATTATTTGACCAATTTTCAAAACTCATAGGTGATTCTTTCCTAGCAGAACGTTTTAACGAAATAAAGAAAAACATTTTAGGTTTATTGGAATTAAAACAAACCTCAACTGTTGCAAGTCAAATCCAAGACCTGAGTCAAAAACTAATCAATATTATCGAAGAAGGTCAACGTTCTGTTTCACCACCATTGTTTGACCTTCAAGAACGTTTGACCACAACCATGGAAGACTTCCAGAAACAGTTGGACATGATTGTCAAATACGATTGGGACTTTGATCATTACCTTGAAGAAGACGTTCCTGCTGCGGTGAGGTGACATTAATATAAAATTTCCCATTTTACCCTTTTGTATCTACAGATATATTATTAAACAAATCTTGTTTCTAAATTCTAACAACAGATGAAATATATAAAGGCGCAAACTAAACCGGAAGATGGTAAATTGGTTGCTGTAGGACACTCCATGGGTGGCATTTTGCTATATTCCATGCTATCACGATTCGGTAATAATATTTACCATTTAGCCCTTTTAGTTTTTTTTTAAATCAAATTTTAAAATGTATTTAATTCTCGTTCTAAAGGTGCTGAAGGAAAGGAACCAGGGTTGGCTGCTATTGTTACTTTGGCATCTTCACTTGATTACACTTCTTCAAAATCAACACTAAAATTACTGTTACCGCTTGTAAGTAAATATATCTTGTGTTTTACTTTTTTTTACATGACTAGATTATTATTATTATTATTATTATTATTATTATTATTATATTTGTTCATTTAGGCGGACCCCGCACAGGTGCTGAATGTGCCTATTGTCCCTTTAGGAGCACTGTTAACAGCTGCATATCCTCTAACATCGCGTCCTCCTTATGTTTTATCATGGCTTAATCATATGATATCAGCACAAGACATGATGCATCCAGAGCTGTTGAAAAAGCTAGTGTTAAACAATTTCTGTAAGCATATTATATTTTGTATGATCTTGTTTAGTAATAATAAATAATTTAATGAGATTTTAAATTTGTTACAGGTACAATACCTGCTAAACTGTTGCTGCAGCTGACATCAGCGTTTCGTGAGGGTGGTTTGTGTGACAGAAGTGGGAATTTTTTTTATAAAGATCATATTCATAAAATCAATGTTCCTGTGTTAGCCATTGCAGGGGATCGAGATGCAATATGCCCCCCTGAAGCTGTACAGGGTAAGTTGTATATATGTTTTGAAACTACCCTCGTACTTTTGATAAAATGGCGGTTTCTACCCCTTCATTGATAATGTTGTTGTTATTGAATGAACAGAAACAGCGAAGCTGATTCCTGAGGGGTTGGTTAGCTATAAACTATTTGGTGAACCGGATGGCCCACATTATGCGCATTATGATTTGGTTGGGGGGCGATTGGTAATACCTCCATACTTTCTCTCTCTTTTTTTTGTAATCTTGTTTGTGATATAGCTGATCTCTGCAATTCTGGTTGTTATTTGAGATGAGGACCAAAATTGCAAAAATTAGCTATACTCAGTGACCAAAGATGTAATTTAGTTAAAAATATATTAAGGTTTGAATGAATGCAGGCGGTTAATGAAGTGTATCCATGTGTAGTGGAATTTCTGAGTCGTTATGATGACATTGAAAAATGATATTATTATTAAGGAAAGGAAACGAGGTTTATTGAGTGAAGGAAGATCGATGGAGCAGATTATGTTTGCTGGTTGGTTGTCCAGAATATGTAGATAGATAGTTTGTGAATGAAAAATATATAGTAAGATCAATGTTCATGTTGTATCATAATTCATGCCAAAAATATTGTACAAGTTAATTAATCTGTGAAGCAAAGTGTTGTTTTAATTTAAACTAGAATTGTTTATTTGGAGAAATCAATTTGTTGATGATGATTGAGTTGAGTATTTGGCATTGCTTGCAAGTACCAAAATATTCTATTTGGTGTTTGGATGTGCCTCGTGAAATTGCTTAATAAATAATTTATGCATTTTTGTTATTTTAATACAAATGTAGTATTAATTTACGCAAACATAAAATATATTGTATATCTTTTAAATCTCATGTTTATAGTATAGTATTATTTGTGATAGTTGTGAAGAAGATGTATTTTATTTATTTTTAAACATTTTCACTTTAGGTGCTATTTATTCATTAACCTCTTAATTGTTCAACATTAACAGTGTTTGGTTAGCACACTTCTACTTCTGACCAAATCACAGGGGATTTCAAACATTCATTGCTTTCTTTCTCTTGCGAAATTTGTAAAAGATCGCCACCCTCTTCATAGCTCTTCCTGCACTACTGAAGCCACCAGCGCCACCCTCTACTTTGTTAGACTAAAGCCCTAAATGTTTAAGTTTCTTTTATGGATTCGAAGCAAGAACGATTTCAACTGATCAATGAATGCCTTCCACACTGTTGGATAGAATTTTGATAGTTAATGTTACCTTTGTTTGCTAAATAGACCACAATACAATTATTTGATGTTAAGAGGCGTAAAGAATATGAAACAGGTTCAATTTCATGTAGTTCCGATTGTGAGATTTCACATTTCTTTGTCCAATAAACACTTGACCACGTTAGAATGATCCAATAAAGATAATACGATGCCAACAAGTTAATTTTTTATGGTATATATGTTTATATAAGTTTTCAATTTTTATGGTATATATATGTTTATATAAGTTTTCTCCAGATATATACATATACCATGTTCACATGCTTATCTGTACAAGTATACAGCATTACTACTACATTAGCCACCACATGCGTACGTACATGTCTTTTGAATTTATCTTTTGAATTTAAAGAGAAAGTATTTAACGTTTATTTGCGCTTCTTGTCCTTAACTCGTCCTCTTGGGATCTTGTTTAGGACTTTGGAATCAAATTTCTTCAACACCTTCTTTGCATCTTTGCTCCCTTTGCGTATGAGGCGATCAACTTCTTGCTCGTATTGTTCATACAATACAGGTAAAGTTCCAAGACAAATAAAACCTACGTAAACATAGAGAATGCAACCCAAACATATATAAGATCAACATCCGTCGGGTTTTTGAGGTAAAAACCATATATAATAATTGGAACTTACAGAAGAACAAGAGATTCAAAGAACTGAAATAACTGCCAAGAACTGAAATCATCCATAAAGATCCGATCACCTACAAGACGATTAGTCGATTATATTTGAAAATTTCTTCAAGAATAATTAATATTAGAGTAAAGAAACATAGTTTAAATGCGTACCAAGAAAAACTCAATGAAATTTTCCCCGCTTGAGATCTCATAGAATCGGAGTAAGACCCAATTTACTTTCCTATACAACCATCTGAATGCAGATTCTTGTATCGTTATCTCATGTATATCAGGAAGATCCCTATATAGTACAAATTCAAAACAAGTTATTTTATAAAAGTATTTCTCCTTTTGGGAAATCTGTATAAGGTGCAAAAAAACATTACCAATTGGCGAATTTTGCTGCTGTGTATGTGAGAAAGACGATCAACATGACAAGGATCGAGATGTGACAGATTAAAGAAACAAAGTTGTACTCAACAACTTCAAAGAGAAACCAGATCATCGTAATTCCTAGCAGAATTGCTGCTGACAAGCTTTTGTTTCTCCATAAAAGTAAGTTTGCAACTGCGACATAAATCAATTAAACACTATTAATTTAGGAAAGCCATCTTGTTAATCACAAGAGATTTCGTTATTTTGATACATAATGTCAATAAAATAACTTAAAATTTAATCTCAATATATGCTGGTCATTATATATTAAAAAGAAAAACTTAATACATTATTGAAATAACAAGTTTTTTAGAGATACCTTGTCCTCCACCAAGTAAGGAATGTACAGATCTTTCACGACCAAACAATTTGGTAGTTGGAACGTTATGATCGTTGGAGTCTTCTGCTTCAGAAGAAGAATATATCAACATGTTTAAAGGGATCGTATGAAATTCAAGAATCGTAAATTTTGATGTTCATGTGTGTACGTGTTATTTGGATTTTAGGAAAGATGCATAGTTTATATAATCAAAATTAGGGTTCCAAGCTTTGTATTCAAGAAATCTTTAAAGTTGGAAGAAAGGGATGACTTTGGGATGAGTTGTCTCCTCACTATCACATGAACAAAACTAACAAATTGAATTTATGGTTGTCTTATTTATCCGGTTATATGATAAGATTAACAAAGAAAATATTTTCTATACTATATTATATACAAGGTGTAAAAAAATATTACCAATTGGCGAATTTGGCATAAATCTTTTGGAAGCGTTTGGAAGCTTTTAGCTTTTAGCTTTTGACAAAACGCTCTAGTTTAAACAAAAAGCTTCGTTTGGTAGTACGAACGTTTAGCTTTTAGTTTAAACAAAACGCTCCAAATCTAAAAGCTACTTCATGTAGCGTTTAACAAAACGCTACTGAGCTTTTGAAATCAATTTCCATAATTACCCTTAAAAATATATTTATATATTTATTTATTATTAATCAATTGTCCTTTTATGTAATTTTATATATTTCAAAAGCTTCCAGCTATTTTTGCCAAACACTCATATAACAAATAAAAGCTACAGCTTCCCGCTACATGCTACCCGCTACCAGCTACCCGCTAACCGCTTCCAGCTAACAGCTACTTCTGCCAAACACGCCCCTAATTTACATCAATAACTTTATGGTTATTCATTTCCAAAGATAATCCCTAGACCCTAATCCCTTTTGTCGCCGAAACATGTTCAAATATGAATGTTTCTATTTATTCAATTATCTTTATAAAAAAATCTATCTTAATAAATAAATATTATTTTTGCTAAATATCAACTTCTTATTGAATTTGACACATCATTTTCTCAGAATTTTAGAATTTTTTTTTCACTTGCAATTTTTTTTTTGTTTTTATTCAAATGTCACATATTAAATGTCACCTCAAATTAATTAATTTTATTAATATATTATTTAATATATATTAACATAGATAGTATGAATCCCTATATTTTAGGTTTGGAACAAAAAGGAAAACAAAATATTTAAAATACATATTTGAACTATAATAAAAAAATATTGTCACTTTTGAAAATCATAACTCTTAAATAAACGAGTTAAATTCCTAAAACTGAAAATTAGTTTTATTATTATTAAGGTTTGAATCAACATTTGCAAGTCGCAATCACGAAATCAAACATCTTTAATGATACTTGTAAACAAAGCCTTCTAATTATTTATTATTGATGATATTTTTTTAAATAATTCTATATATACAAAGAAAATGTTATACATTTTGACATTAACTCGTTTCTTTATGGGCCATATTGACAAACACCAACTTGTGTCCATCAATATGTGATTTATTAAAATTTAGTTTACATATATAAATATAAATTTGAATTATGACTCTATTTTATTTTTTGTTTTTTAATATCTTTATTATTAAATACTATTATTCTTAATTTTTGAGTTTTTTAATTAAAAATAACATAATATGTTATTTTTATAAAATTTTATATTTAAACATTGATTATATATAATGACATTTTTTAATCAATATAAATTAAGCATTTATATAATAGTAGTTTTTTTTTTACTTTAAAAACTAAAAAATAGCTACTCAATCAAAAAGCATGAAAATGTGACTTTACTTTAAAAACTAAAAAATACCTAATATAAAGGTGTGAAAATGGAATATGTTAAAGTGCAATGTATTTATGAAACTTTCCCTCAATATCCAAGTTGTTGTTGAATGGGTGTTGGTGAGTTAAAAAAAATTCACGGGTCTTGGTGGTTGCTTTGTTGTCATATTTATTAATGTTTAAGTATTTTCTTGGGGCTTGGTCGTTGTACTATTATGCGTTAGCATGGTGGTTTGAATACACCATAAGTTGCTTCAACAAGTGGTGTGAGTTCCTTGGGTTTTAGTTGTACAAATTTTGTCCCTTTTGCTGCATTGTGTTAAAGGGTATAAATGTTATTATGATCAAGTAATGGCTTTCGAATATGAATTACTTTATCAATCGTATAGATTGAATTACTTACTTGTTCATCATTTCGTTTGTATTTATTTCAAATTTTACTTTAAAAAATGCTTCTTGTAGCCAACATAGGTAATGCACTTTATTTTTTATTTGTATTAGCAATATAAATTCCTTCCCTCAGACCCTCACTCATTATAGCAATGTAACTTCCTTATGGTTTACAATTTTGGGCTTTCAAATTATAGCATATCATTTTATTCTATAAAGAAATATTAAAAAAAAATACATGCATCTTTCTTAAATGAAAATCATCAAATAGTTTAAAAGATCATTTCTTCAAACATATTCTATTTCATTAGAGAAAACAATAAAAATGACAACAAATCTAAAAAAAATACCTTCTGAGTCGTAGGAAAGCATGGGTCTCTTCGCTAGTTTACATGAAATCCCTCCAAGTCAAAAAAAATCAAACTAAGAAACTTAGAATCAGGGGGGACATTTTGGGATGTCCATATCTCTATTTTCGGTAAATAAGTAGCCTTTATATTAATTTTAGAACTCAAAAGAACCATTAATGAAAAAAAAGTATAGTGCATGCCCTTTCATATGCTTTTGATTTTGAAAAATAGTTGGACCATTTACTTCATATCAGATTTGATTTTTTATATATGCAACAGTTACAATAGTCTGCAAAACAATTAAAACAAATTGTTGGAATCACAAATTTTGTGTGGGAGCAAGTGGCGAATGATATTTGATGAACCAAATTATGTCAATTGAGTTTGTGATGCTAGAACTAAACTTTTCTCGTGGAACTTGTAGCAAAAGTTTTAAAGAGGTAATGAATATTTTTGTCTGTTTTAAGAAGAAATTTGAAGTGAGTTTTATGGTTAGTAATCTCTTTTAAACTTTTTT